AAACAAAATTTTCTCACTTGTGACGCTGATATGACAAATTACACACCTCCACTCATCATTTTTGTTTCACCGCATATCAGAATCAAGTTGCATATGGTATATAAGAATCAAGAACAATTATCAATCATCAGCGCATAAGTATCGATATATTAAATTTTGTACAAAGTATTGATAAACATATATTATGATTTGATATTTTATATTTTTGAACTGCTTTCTGAAATAATTTGTCTCGATTAACTCATAATAATTATCAATACTTCTCCACAAATATCGATAGTTTTGAATTAAAAAAAAACATGAAAAATGAGAAGATTGCAAAGTATCAAACTTTTCCATAAATATTATAGTATAAGTATCGATATAAACAAAAAAGTATCGAACCTCATAACATATAAATCGATATTTTAACTATCGATCATATTCATCAACTTGTTCAATATCTAAAAGTATCAATCATCATCGCATAAGTATCAATATTTTAAATTTCAATCTTTTTATCAAGTTTTTCAATTTTTAAAAGTATCAATCATTACCACATAACTATCAATATATTAACTTTCGATCTTATCTTCAACTTTTTCAATATTAAAAAGTATCGATATTTAAAATTTCGATTTACTTTTTTATTTTTTAGGGCTTAAACTATTTTATTAATAAAAATATTAACATTACAGATCGCAACCTATTTCTTAATGAACCATGACATTCTTAAGCACAACATATTTATTAAAAAATAGTAACATTACATTGCAGATCACAACCTTATTTCTTAGTGAATCATTACATTTTTGGATGCAACCTTTTTTATTAATAAAAATATTAACATTACATATCACAACATATTTCTTAGTGAACTATGACATGCTTGGGCACAACCGTAGTTCTTATATATATTCATAACATTTACATCTTTTAACTTATTTTATTATCGTGGGAAAATCTAATACACCATTAGCTTAAACTCTAATAATATTTTAGGTGCAACTATTTTATTACTAAAAATATTAAGATTCTAGATTACAACCTACTTTCTTAGTGACCATGACATTTTTGGGCGCAACCTATTTTATTACTAAAAATGTTAACATTACAGACACAACCTATTTCTTAGTGAACCATGACATTATTGGGTGAAACCGTATTTCTTATATATATTCATAACATTTTCGGGTTTTAACTTATTTTCTTGTCGTGGGAATGTCTAAGGCTTCATCAGCTTAAACTTTAGTAACTTTTTGGGCACAATCTAAAATGTTAATAATATTTATAACAATTATCATTTATAACTTATTTTCTTACTCTGTATAACATTTTAGTGCAACATGTTATGTTACTCCGACTAGGGTGTTCATATTCGGATACCCGCATTTTCGGGTACCCTAAATACCAGGTACTCAAAAATCGACCCATAACCCGACTCATGATAGTCAGGTACCCGTAAAACTCGAGTACCCACTAATTTGGGTAAAAAGGGTACCCGTTCCAATTTGACTCTTATTGTCTGCCGATTCTAGATCTTAAGTTCTTTTGTGATGAAATTGGATTCTTCTACATCTTTCTTTAAACTACATTTTAGGTAATTTAATTCCATAAATTTGGATTTTTTTTTTCTGTTTTTTTTATAGATTTTACGGTTGGATTGATTTTAGATATTGTTGATAATATCTCTTTTCTTTGATTGAATGATTCCATGATGAATGTTTAAGTTTTTTAACTTTCTTTTGAAGTCTCTTATTTTTTTTTATCGTATTTTCTTCTTTTCTTTCAAATTATTCATAATGTATCTTAAGATATTATTTACTAATGGCTTAAAGAAAATTTCATTTGAATTATATTAGTGAAAGAATTATAAGTTGTAAACTGGGGGTTTCAGATTTCCTTTAATCTCTTGTTTCATGTTTCATATTCATAAGTTTTGCTTCTTTGAATGTATATTTCTGGAATCAAAAGACCAATTGTTTAGTTACTTTCCGTATAAATTTGTACAATGATTGAGACGAGTCAAGAAAGGCCACTGGCGAGAGGAAAATGAAGAAGTTAGGAATAACTTATTTGGTAATTACAAGTGAGATTGGGGTGTTTTGTTGAAAAATTAAAATAAATTTAGAAAGAAATCGGGTACCGGGTAATCAGATACCCGGTTAAGAGAAATTTTATTACCCGGGTCAGCTTCGGGAACTTGGGAAAAATAGTAGGTCGGGTACCCGATCTAAAAATTCGAATATTTTCATTATTAATATTCGGTAATTTTTAGCTAGGTCGACGGGTCAACGGGTCGAATGATTCAAATTGGATAACTCTGACTAATAATTTTTTGAATTTCAATTTATAACATTATAGGTAACGTTTTTAAGCTGTATTTTTTTTACCAATCACATCATTTATTAGTTTTATTTTAAGGGAATAGGAGGAAAACTCCCCATCTTTATATCCGTCTTGAAAGATTAAACAAGTTTCCACGTGATTATCTGTATTGGTGTTTTCTTACCTACCCATAAATAGAATTAATGAGAACCAAATCTTAAGTCAATTAATTTATATTGTTATTAATAATAAAGTATATTTTTATATATTTAAGACTCAAATATTAATATTTGTAAAATTTTCTTGAATTAAAATTATAGCTACATCTCATGAGATGATGATAAGAGACGTATCCATATATATTTTTATTCATATTCTTTTTAATAATTTTTTTGGTGTCGAAAAATTTTGGGCAACACCAAAATATATATATATATATATCAAAGTCATATGTTCCCCATTACATATGAGAATAGAATTTTGTTGTTGTTGTTGTAAAGTCATATGTCTGATTTTCTTTTTGAAAATTTAACATTTAAATATATATGTATTTATATTATATTATATTCACATTACCTTTTCTCGGGTCATATCATATTTTATATTATTTTCAATTATTTTTTATGTGTAGAAAATTTACTCAATAAGCCTTAAAAATAATATATTTCCCAAATATCATGGTTGTATTAATAAAAAAAATTCCCTTGAATAAACAGGAAACTCCATACCAGAAATCATCATATAATCTTGATAAAAGATAGACCGACCCAAGAATGAAAAACAAAAGAATAGGCTTTTGCTTCAAGGATCCCTCACTCTTTCAACATGTCACCATTTCCGGATATGATTGTCACCCTACACGTGGTTCAATTGATACTTAAAACAAATTGGATAAGTCCCGATATATGATTCGAATACGAATTGACTTAAATTGAGATAATTAAAAATAATAAAAAAATCTGATTCATCCAATCTATATTGACCTGACCTAAACGAATAGGATCTGTCCAATGGACAAAGTCTAGATATGATCCTGAAGATCTACAAGTATAAAAAAAATACTTTTGACAAATATTAAATATATTATGGTAATAAATAGATATAGGCGCGTCCAATACTTCAATTGTTGCACAAATTGAACAATTAAGTGGTAAGTTAAGGTCTTAAGCTCGAATATAAAAAATATTAAGAGTATGAGTATTTCATATCAAGTAATTAAGAATTATCTTTAAAAGATACAACATTATATTTACCTTAAATTAATAAAAAAAAAACTATTCAACTCGAAAAGTCTCACATGTAAGAAAGAAAAAGAAGGCTGGAGGTTCTTTCAGTAGACCCTTTCATCATATTTCTCTGTCATTTTCCTATAATGAAATCGTTGGAACAACACGTCACTAAATTATTCCCTATTTTGGCTGAAAACTTTTACTTTTTTTTCATGATTGAATTTGAAGGCTCTATTAGCAGTTCTGAGGTTGTTTGCAACATTTTTTCAGCATCATATGTATAATTTAACTAAACAACACTGGTTGATTTCTTCAAAGTTTTTGATTTTTGTTAAACCTCTTCAATTTCGGGTTGATAATAAAAAGTAAGCCTTTTTAAGCTCAAAAGCTATGGTTTACTTGAAAAACTCTGGTGAGTTAATGTTCAGTTCTCCCACATGAGACGATAAAATCAAGGAAAATCTGTCACGATTTTTTTCGATGCTCTAATTATCCTTTTATTCCTTTCAATTAATCTCAAATAAAAAAAAATCTCTTTTTTTAATGCCAATTAAATCAGATATTCTCCCGATTCGGTTCACACTTTACCTAATGAATTTAATTTTTCTCTCAATTAATCCATAAATATTTTGTGTCCACTCTTATTCGTACATTCGAAAATTCGAATTATTATATAAAAATATAAAATTATTAAAATAATATTTAAAAGTATAAAAACATTAAAATAATTTTGAAATTCTAAAAATATTTAAAATTTCATGTGATAATATAGTTAGCGTGTGAGTTAACTATAGTTGGATCGATTATAAATATTTTATTTTAGGAAAATTCTACGACACTCGACAAGCACCGCTGAGTATCACTAACGATGAGTACTGTCGAGCATCATTAATTTAATTTATAAAAATTTAAAATTTAAAGGACTCGACGTATACTTATAAATTATTTAAAAAATATAAAGATAAATTATTTAAACAAGGAAAAAATATTTAGTTTTTTTTAATTTAGAGATTGATATTTGATTCAATTGTTATTAAAAATTTATGGAAAATAATGTAATTAATATTTTATTTTAAATAATTTACACTTGAATTTTTTAATTAATTTATAAATACACATTGAGTTCTTTAAAATTTAAATTTTTTATAAACTAAATTAATGATGCTCAGCGATGCTCATCGTTAGTAGTGTTCAGTGGTGTTCGTCGAGTGTGACAGACTCATCCTTTATTTTATTAATAGATCCGTATGATTACAGTTTGATTTTATATAATTTTTTATTAATGATATACATAAATATTCTATTAATCAATTATTAAGTATTTTTAAGTGTCAGATTGCTTTTGGACATAAATTTTTCGAAATATCAACTATCCTGCAAATGGTATGAAATGATAAATGATGAACATTTCAATCTTTTTTAACTTTGATTTTACATAGTCGCCTCTAGCGATAAGAAGCTATTCTATCTGGCATCTAAAATTGTAATGGTTAATTCATTCGAGGATTTTGATGGTCCCCGTGATGTATAATCGTCAGCCGCCATCGATGGCGGCAGATCCTTTTCGATGAAATAACCAGGCCGATTTGGTTTAGGTAATGTACTTTCGCCACCCAACATGAGTAATACTGATGACATGTTGGGTCTATCTTCGGGGCGCTGTTGCACGCATAACAGAGCCACATTGATACATCTGACCATTTCAGTTGTAATATAGGGGTCACTGCCGGTGTAGGCAGTGCCGCCGTCGGCATCGATCAGGTCCAACGACCTCTCTTCTGTCCACAGTCTCCATGCCTAAACATTTGTTAATATAATTTATTAGTTTGAAAAAAATATTCAAAAACCAGATAAAAATTAAATTTAACTAGACTTGAAAGATGCATCTATTAAGAATAGTAATTTGTACTTACATGTTGGAGAAGATTATTGTCGGGATCGGAGTAACCCCTATTTCTCTTCCCCGTTATAATCTCCAAAATCAGAACTCCAAAGCTAAAAACATCAGATTTCATGGAGAAACGCCCATAGAAAGCATACTCTGGAGACATATAACCACTAGGCAAAAAATCATTAAAAATGAGAACCTTTATAATAAAAGGGGGAGAAAAAAAAAAGAATACATGTGGTGAAAAAACATACTATGTTCCGACAACTCTTCTTGTTTTGTCCTCGGTTTGATCTCCACCAAACATCCTAGCCAAACCAAAGTCAGAAATCTTGGGATTCATATTATGATCTAGTAATATATTACTGGCTTTTAGATCTCTATGAATTATCCTTAATCTTGAATCGTGATGGAGATATAGAAGCCCTCGCGCAATCCCATCTATGATGTTAAATCGCCTTTGCCAATCCACCAATTTGTTCCTCCTTTTATCTGTGCAATAAAACGATCCATCCAGTTTAGTGCGAGATACGGTCTTTTAAGAAATCTCTAAATACAAAAAATTCATAAAAGAAATTGAATGAAGTTGAGTTGAGATTTGGAACCAAAAATAAAGTTGTCTAAACTTTTGTTGGGCAAGTATTCGTAGATTAGCATCCTTTCATCCCCCTTAATGCAGCAACCAAATAGCTTTACAAGATTGCGGTGCTGTAGTTTAACGATGAGTGTGACTTCATTTTTAAATTCATCCAATCCTTGTCCAGAATCCTTTGAAAGCCTCTTCACTGCTATTTCTCTTCCTTCTTCCAACAAACCCTTTCATTCATAGGACAACTTATCATATTATCAAAGATAACTCACCAAATATTGCTTTATCATTACCTTATAAACATGAACAGGGACGGAACTGGTATATAAAGAGGGTGCCGATTGACACTTCAAAGATTTTAAAAATTCTTTTTTTATATATAAATTAAATATAAAATATAAAAAACAAACAAAAAATACACATTTCACCTTTAAAAAAGAAGGGTAAATTATGGTAAATTATCAGTTTTGACCCGTTTTAGTACCTGAACTTTCAATGTTTTCAAAATCATACCTAAATTTTAGTTTCTATTTCATTTTAGTACCCTATTCAAATTTAACGTTAAGTTTTGAAAACTATTGAAATTTTAGGTACTAAAACAGACCAAAATTGATAGTTTAACTTCTAAACACGTCAAGTTTTTAACGATGAGGTACTAAAATGAAACAAAAACTAAACTTTAGGTATAATTTTGAAAAAAATAAAAATTTAAGTACTAAAATAGACCAAAACTGATAGTTTAGATACTAAATATGTAATTTATTCAAAAAATTGATCCTATTCTTTTTAAAACTAATTTATAATAATAATAATAAATGTAAAATCCCATTTCAATCCCCTACTAACACTCATCTTTTTCGAAATCTATTATTATTAAATATAATATATATTATAAAATTATTTATTAAAAAAATAAACTTATAGAAATATAATTAGTTAAAAACATAAAATCACCTCATAATCATGTCATAAAATCTTATTTCTCTAATAAAATATAATTTAAAATTTGAATAAATTAGTATCAAAATAAGTTTAAAAAGAATTATGAAAATTGTATATATTTTTTTTTTGGATAATTAAAATTGTATATACTTACACTAATGTAACTATGTGTTTATTTTTTAAGTACTATGATAGTGAAAGATGTACCTACTTTATAAGTGTAAGCATGTGTTTATTTTTTTATACTAGTAGGGATGAAAATTTAACCCAAAATTAATAGATTCTAATCCGAGCGAATTTAATAAGGTTAGACTTTTTGTTTCTTAAAAAAAATTAAGTCCAGGTCGGATTTTTTTAAAGGAGTGAGGTCAAGTCTGGTTGGGTGGTAGGAGATAATTGTATAATTTCTTTAAATAAATTTATGGATAATCGCAATAATACCCATCCATCTATTATTATTTTTAATTAAGTCCTTATTTTATACCGGGACAAGTTGGGTCGAATCAGATTTATACTATAAAATTTTGGGTCAGATCAGAATCAGGTGGAGCGTATATATTTTCAGGTCGGGTCTGGTCATGTAGAAGATATATATTTTCGCGTCGGTTCGGGTGGAAGGTATATATTTTTCAGGTCAATTGAGTTGTCTAAAAATATGACCCAACCCGACCCATTGCCATCCCTAGGTACAAGGATAGTGGTAGATGTATGTACTTACACCAATGTAAATATGGTATCTAAAAATAAACATATAATTACATCGCTATAAGTACGTACATCTAGATTAATGAGTTGAAATTTAAATTAAAAAATAGAGGAAGATATTTAAATGTTTTTATAAAAAAATGTTATTAATAAATAAATTAACATAAAAGAATCAATATATAAATTTGTTCAAGAACACAAACGAACTAAATCTACTTTTGTTCATGTTCGTTTATTTATTAAATGAATACTAAAATTTTGTTCATGATTATTTATTAACCTAATAAATGGACATAAACAAACGTTATACGAACAGTTTATTGAACGTTCCATTCTTTTACATCTCTATTTTAGTCATATTATACTTTAATTTATTAAATATTAATATTACGCATAAATTTATAACTTTATTTGAAGGTCTTAATTCCTTAAATTATGACACTACAATTTAATTTTTCTATGAAATCTTCAAATATTTGTCATATTTAATATGTGTTTTTATAATCTGATACTCACGTTTAAAATTCTAAGTTTTAACATCGTATTATATGTTTATAAAAAATATCTAAATTATATTTTTTTATTTAGTGTTTAAAATTTTTCACTCAGTATAGACCTTTAACATTACAAGTGTGCTATTTTAAGTATCTTAGATGTAATAATCGTTAAAAAAAATCGTTAGAAGACATGTGTTACCCTTATAAAATTTTAAAAGTTTTATAATCTGATCCCCACCATTTGTGGACTAGTCAAAGGCTGGCCGAAAACCTTTGCGATTTTGGGAATTGCAGTGGGAGAACCTAGGGAGAGGGGTAGGGGATGTCGCAGGGGAATTAGATATTTTTTCTAAATATTTAAAAAAAAATAATTTTAAAAAAAATATAAATACAACATGTGTTACTTAACGGTTGAAGTATTTAAAATAATAATATTTATACGATAAGTATCTATATTGACCGAAAAAAATTAAGACACCTAAATGAGAAAAAATGATATAATTTAAGTAAATTTTTTTAAAATAAACCTATTTTATACTTGTATTCTAAATTCGGATAGCATAAAATAATTAACATGGTAATTACCTTGTATACACAACCAAAGCCACCTTGTCCTAGCTTGTTGGCGGTTGAGAAGTTATTTGTAGCATGAGCAATAGTTGCAAAATCAAATATTGTTAGCTCCATCCTTTCCTTGTTTTTACCTGCTCATTCCAAAAGTTACACAACTCTATGTTACTTTTACTTGGGCATGAATGTTGGATTTTGTTATATTCACAGTTATATATACATATATAAACGATATTTACCTGCATTTGTCTTGAATTTGTACAAGAGAGCCATTGTTAGCATTAATCCCATGGTTAGTATGATGGGGGTGGCTATAGCAACTGCCTTATCCTTTCCCTTTGACTTCTTTCTTTCAATTTCATCTGCACATTTAAGCATAAAAACAATTGGAAAAAACATAATTTTAAAATAATCTGAACTTATAATTTCAACATTTTATAATAAAACCTACAATTTCTTTTATATCGGTACAAAAGTTAAATTATTCATTTAAATTAAAAGCTTTATTTCTAACCACCAGTATCTGACAACTATTTAAAATCAGATTTTCTAAAAACTTATTAACATTTTCAATCCAATTACTTCATTTGCGGGATCGAAATTTAAACTTCTAATTTTTTTTAAAATATATATTGTCTCGTACCAATTGATTGTTAGTTAAAGTTTCTTTTTATACGAAATGTATTGGAAAGAAACATTAAACCAAAAAACGAGAGTTGTTAAAAGATTAGGTTCATTGGTTCCAATATTCAAAGTTCTTGACCCGACAACTTTTCTATATTCAAAGTTCTAGGCTGACATTTTTTATTCTAAAAACCTTTATTTTACTTTTATACATTAAATGATCTATTACCATAAACAATTATATATAATAGGGTATATTAAAAAAAATTATCCATCTTATTTTTGCTCATTAAACTTTAAAAATTTTCAATTTTCTCACAAAACTTAATATATCGGGTTTGTTAGTCACTCCGACATTAAATAGTTAATGGCGTTAAAACGACTCCATTTTTAAAAAATAAAATTTTCACCAAAATGAAGTTTTGCATCTATATAAAAAACCTATTTATAACGCTGTTAGTGGAAAAACGATTAAGTGACAAAAAAAAACTACATTAAATTTAGTAAAAAAAATTGAAATGATTTAAAATACACTGATTGAAATAGAAAAGAGAATAAAATTTAATTACCAAGTTGATAAACAAATCATACATAGACTTATTAAGTATTAAATTAGAAAAATAACATAAAACTTTAGAAAAACAATAACGGCTAAATTATACGATAAAGTAGTAAAGAAATTGAGAAAAAAAAATTAAACAAGATCATAAGTTTAAATTATGATGTAATGGATAATAAAATTGAGTTGGCAGATATACCTTACAATATAAGTTTATGTAACAGTAATATTCATCTAAATAAATCAATGACAGTTTGAAATAAGAAACCTATTTTTTAAAAGAAAAGATGCTAAATTAAAGGAAAGGGTTAAAAAAGAATTACCTAGCTCTGATTTAGCCAATCGAATATAAAGATCTTGGCTATCCTCGGAAAACTCTGAAATGTCAATCAGTTGGTTGAACCAAAGCAAGCAACCGGTTCTTTCTTTAGCATTTAAATTCGCATAGGCCGTGCAGGAACAGTTTTGCAGACACAAGTCCTTGCACTGTTCCAGATTCATGGTGCTATTAGCCCATGAATTCCAAGTGTCCGGTAATTTCAACCGAGTAAGCTTAAAAAATACATCGCTTCCGCCTTTACAGTCCAACGCTATTCTTCGAACACATCCGCTATCCAACATATTATTGGTGGAGTTAAAAGTTAACGACTTGGGCAAAAATCCTTGCAGACAAGAACATGGTGTAAAACTGTTGGATCCGCAGATTTCATATGATCCACATAAGTTGTAAGTTGAACATATATCGGCTTGCGCCGTCGAGAAAATCTGCCATTCTCGTCTCTCTTCTCGCCATATGAAACGTTGCATTAGACCAGATGGATTCATCGCATACCTGGAAATAAATGAACTGTTCAGAACCTCCGATCTGAATCTGAAGTAGACTTCGTTTTGATTCATGACGAAATGATACGAGTAAATTGGAACAGGATTTTCTTCTGGTTTCCGGCCCGAGAAGAAATGGCCGTCCCATGAACCAACTCTGTAAACTGTTTCCGATCCTTTCTTCACAACAAGTTGTGGAAATCCACGAGTATCCATCCTTAATGAATATTGTCCTTGAGATGGATCATCTGAAGATTTCCACGCCGATGTATAGTACTCGAACCCAGTAACCAAGTTCTTCCCGATCTTCATCCCCGGCAAAAAGTTATCACATGGATAATCGAAACTTTCCCAGTAATAATTCAATGGATTATCATCGTTTCTCTCTTTCACTACGAGGTTTCCCGAATCCAAGAGCTTCAAAACAGGCTCCCTGGGAGTTCTCCATGTGTTCATAGACCAAAGTAAGGCGTTGGTTGCATTAAAGAGTGCCAAGGTTCCATTGTTGTCCAAGCTTAAAACTCCGTTGTTATCAGAGATTGGATCTTCCCTATTGGCCACCCAAACGACGGTGGTGTTTGAAGTTTTGTACCATATTCCGATGTATCGGTTGTTGGAATTCCCTGGACTGAAAAACCCCAGCTCGAAGATTCCGTAATCTGATTCAAGGGTTTCACCATCTTTGATGGAATCCCCTGGTGTGATGATTTTCAGGGCAGAGGCATTGAGAATGAAGATGAATAGGAAGAAGAGCATGAGAACCTCCATTATAAGAAGCTTTTACAATGGATATTAGTAAGAACTGAGGGGTTTCTTATTGGAAAAGAAATGTTTAATATTCGTTTTAGTCCAAGAACCATATCCGATTTATCATTTTGGTATTCAACATCGTACTATGTATATGTTAATTTATTCATATCATATATGATATAATATATTATTAAACCATTTCCTTTATTTAATATTCGTTAACATTTTCAATTAAATAAAAAAAGTTAATTTGAAATTTGGAGCATAAACTAAATGACCTTTGTAATAAATGAATTAATATTATTTTTTGAAGATTTAGTTTCGAGCACTATAAATAACTAGAATGTGAGCTTTCAATGTTAAATGATGAATGTTATCTCTAAACAAATACTATATTGTAATTATTATTAATAAAAAAAAATGAAATTTGGAACCCCTCAAAGACTTTGGTGTGCTTTGGTTTAGAAAAGTCGTTGCATGGGCCATGGGGTGTCGTTTAGTCTTCTTATTTATATTTGTCAATTTGGACCAAATCAAGTCATGTTTTTTTTAATTTATTTATGTAATAACGACCACAATACGGATGAATCAGATTTTTGATCAATTTTTTAATAATAGGATCTAGATCGCATTAGTCACAAGCAGCATCATTTAAAATAGCAGTAGCAGTGCACCCTGAATATTTTCACTCAAAATAAAACGATTCGGAGAGTGAAACAGGTCATTCTGCTCAAGGCCAGAGTTAGGACGTTGGAGGTTCTGTGTAAATTCTTAAAAATAATGTGGTTGTTGAAAAATTGAGATTAACGGAACTAATTAATTAAAGGAAGGAAATGAATTTATGACTATAATGGGAATGCGAATTAACGAAGGAAGATGAATAATTGAAGTTTGGTAAAGTGAATTGAAGAAGATGAGCTCATTTTTCGTAAAGTGGAGTTAGACCCAAAAAAAAAAATGAAACAAGCTTTACAGCTGTAGCACAATATTAATTATTGGTATTTCTTATATGACTTCAACAAGATTCGATCGCAGGTTTTGTAATTTTGAGTCCAAAAATTTCACCACTGATCTATAATATTTTATTTGTTTTTTTTATTATAACAATAATAATAAATCTAATTTTTTCGAAACCTTTGTTATTCCGGGACCCTGTTCCGTCCCACACATTACGCTGTGCTATCCCCGCCCCTGATTCTTCTAGTGCATGATGAGCCGCCTTATTTACATAACAAACGTATGGCATACGAGGATAATTTTGTAGTAGGCGGCGAGCCTCGTCGAAATAAAAATTCACCACGAACATGTCCTCCAAGCGAGATAAGAGTTACGAAACCACATTAGTAGTGCCACTTTCGACCACTATATGTTCGAACTACAGCTCAGAAGACAGTCGAATGCAACGGGTGATGGCCTGAGCTCAAGGGCGGAACATCATGGGATTAAGGGGAGCCTTGTCCCTGCTAATTATGTTTTTAAAATATTAATTCATGTTAAAAAATATATATAATTTTAAAAAAATATAAAGAAAAAATTATCAAGCCCACTTCAATTTGAAAAAATATATTTATGAAAAATAAAAAATACTTTTAACCCTGCTTAGTACTTAACCCCTCATACCCATAAATACTACACAAATTTTCATTTATTTATCATCCGAAAACACAACCTGTTTATAAAGAAAAGAAATATTTTCTATCATTTCAATTTCCCAAAGGCTTTCAAACTTTTGTCGGTGCAAGAGAAAAGCAGTACCACCATTTTGTTCATTCTGAAATTCAGGTGTACAAATTCTCATAGAGTCGTGTTAACCTTGGGAATGGCCGCATATAGTAGAGATTACACATTTTGGGACGAATTCATTTCTAATACAATGGTTAATACCACACTACAATTGTTTGTTAACTATTTATTTGGTTTATAAACTTCTAGTCAGTGATAACGATTTGATCTTGTAGTAATTTTACCAACAATTTAGAAATGAATTATACTACAAAATGAATTTTACCAACAAGCATCTTTATTCAAGGCATCCATCTGAACTAACACTTAACCTTTCATCCAAGGTCATGGACCTTCATTAAATCATGTAAATTCATATGCATTCACCTCTCTTGTTCAAACCTAGGTTGAATGGATACAATATTTTTCGTCCTTAACCCTTTGAACTCTATAAATAGACAATGCCTTGGTTTTGTAAGGTATTATATCTCATTTTGCTTAATTGAAATCCATTGAGTTGAAAACGAGTTTAATCCATCTTTTACCTACTTTCCATGGAATGTCTAGTGAAAATCCTCACAAGTACCTTACCAAATTTCACATTGTTTGCTCAAGCATGAAACTAAAAGACGTATTCAAGGATCAAACTAAACTTCGAGCTTTTCCTTTTTCCTTAGCTGATTTGGCTAAGGATTGATTATTCTATTTGCCTCCTAATTCTATTAATACTTGGGCTTATATGACTCATCTTTTTCTTGACAAGTTCTTTTCTACGGCGAAAGATAGTGAACTGAGAAAAAACATCTTAGGAGTGCGACTATCAAGAGTCGTTATACGACTATTGGGAATGATTCAAACTTTGCGCCAACTGCCCACAACATGGACTATCGGAGAAAACTCTCCTTCAATATTTTTATGAAGGACTGCTTCCTTTGGAGATGAAGATGATTGGCACAGCTAGTGGAGAGGCACTCGTTAATAGGACTCCGAATGTTGCCAAAAACTTAATCTCTACCATGGCCGCCAACTCTCAACAGTTTGGCTCCTTTAGTGAACCTACTTGACAGGTTCACGAGATAAGTATAATTTCATTGAAAAATAAAATTGATAAGTTGACTGATATAGTTCAATCCTTTGTTACAGGCAAAAAGTGTACTATTAGACTTTGAGGAATATACACACTACTGAACCATCCCATAGATTGTTGTCTGATGTTACAAAAATACAATAGCGCACAAGTTAATGTAGTTGGTAATTTTCTGAGACCTCTCAGAGATCTTATAATCTTAACGCAAATAAAAATAATCCAGGGTGGAGGGACCATCCAAACCTTAGCTATGGGAAGAATTCGAGACCTAATCAGCTGTATCAACCGATGCCTCCACCACAACAACCATATCAACCGTCAAAATCTTTATTGGAGTCTATCTTCGAGCGGTTAGCTCTATCTTAGGATAAATTCCAGATCAAGATCAAAGCTCACTTTTAAGATCTAGATAAACAAATCAATCAGTTGGCTCAAGCTGTGAGTCGATTGGAGTCACAGAGAAAGCTACCATCTCAAATCGATGCAAACCTACGAGAAAACGTTAGTGCCATCACCTTTTGGAGTACACTGTTATCGCACCAGTCCCTAAGGATGTTGTCGTAGAATCCAAAAAAAAAGAAAAAGATGAGGCAAGATCCAAGAAAGAAGAAAAAGAAGATGAAACAAGATCTCAGAAAGAAAAGGAAGAAGATGAAACAAGATCTCAGAAAGAAAAGGAAGAAGTTGACGCAAGATCCCAGAGGAAGAAAAAGGATGAGTCGCAACCTCCTCCCACACCATCTCCCTATGTGATGCACCTCCCTATGGGACATCGCCTTCCTTCCCCTCGAGGTTAGCAAAATGTGATAAGCAAGCAGAGGACAAAGAAATTTTACTTTTTTCAGAAAGTGAAGATAAACATACCTCTCATCGCTTTTAACGTGGACTCTCAATCATCAGACAAAGAGCTTGATAAGAATTTAAATTTGATGTCTTCTCAATCTAAATTTGTCCATCTATTTTGCAGACATCAAAGCTGGAATTAAAATCTCTTCCAGAACATTTGAAAGAATGAGATAATTTATCTATTTCAGGCCATCTTCCAAAGTTGAAAAATATCTGAAGTAATGCTTATAAGAATGTTCGAATCTACAAGGACAAAATGAAGGAACTTATTGATCGTAGAATTTCTCATAAGAAATTTATTAGTTGGAAAAAGCGTATGAAGTGGAGGAAGTATCTCTCGCAGAACATGTAGTCTAAACCAAGTCGTCGAGCTAAACAACAGTTAACAAAAACGCTCTAATGGTAAGCAACCCAGTTTTACAATTTATTTTTTTACTATTATTTTCATTTTTTTCGATATTTATTTATTTTTATTTTCTAAATTTAGGCATACTAAGGTTTTTATCGATTTGTTTAGAGCTCGAATGCCGACCCCAGTTTTAAAAAAAGAAGAGCCTTGCGATTACCAGTGATTACTGATCACAAACAAGCAGGCGAGGAAGCAATTTGTGGTGCTAGTGCGCATTGTGTTAACCCCAAAACCCTCTGAACAATGCACACGTGCTTTGTTTATAATAGTAATTCAGTCAAACTCATTTTAAAAACCCAAGTAGGATTTAGAATCATCCCACTCCACGCGATTTTCATTCTACCCATTTCACACTTTTCTTAAATCTCCATCACATGTGTTTTTTTCTTTTTTTTGGTTTTCACACGACCTAGGCATCTCCATATTTTCTTTTCTTTTCATCAACACACAAAACAACAGACGAGCCTCCCTCTTCGTCCAGCAAACGGTCACAACCTTTATCGCACACCACCTTCAATATTCGACCACGACAAATATTGCATTTTCGATCGTTAGTTCGCACTGGTTTATCACTTTACTTCCATCCCCACTGTCTGTCGATCCGTCACACACATCGCCTAAAAAGTTTTAAGGTAAGTAACAAGCTTACTTTTATTACTCAATTATTGATGTACTACCTTTTGTCTTTACAGAGAACTTCGGCATCGATCCGTACTCCGATGGCTTCACCATCATTTTATTTAAGTCGGAGTCGTCATTAGACACGGGGAGCATCTCTATTCCTTCTCCTATGTTTTAATTTTTCATATTGGGATAATATGTTTTAAGTAAGAGGGTAGAGAACGCTTGCATCGATTTTCTCTCACTTGTTTAATTGGTTGAAATTGAGTATTGCCTTGGTTGATTCATAGACATGTTTTGTTGTCTATCTTGATTCTTATCTTATTTATTTGA